GTTGTCCACCATTTGTTTCTACATAATGTGTATGAGATCTTCGGTTAATCTCTATAACCGAATATTCTATGCATTATTGCGATCACCGATACATCTGTTCGAGAGTTCGCCCATCGGTTACACTCTTTGCTATCATTTTTAATGTTTAATAAATCAATTAATTTATAAATCATTTTTAGGACGAATTCTAAACAAATTTTCGAAAGACACGGGAATTGTCGACGAATTGTTGCCATCGATTGCCTTTGAATTTGTTATTGTAAATGTCATGAAATCATTTAATTAATTTATAATATTAACAGTTTTATAAATATTAATACCTATAGAATACATGTTTTATTATTGGATGTCTAATATTGAATGCAATCGTCAGTTGGTTTCTCATATTTCCGGCAATATTTTTGTTACTATTAGTGTCTATTTGTCGTTATTTCTATATCAAAGCCGCGAGAGATATAAAACGTATGGAAGGGTTGTGTAAGTTTCACATCAATTAATTTTATAAATTATTAAATAAATTTAACCCTTACTTTCCGATAGCCCGAAGTCCGGTGTACTCTCACGTGAACACAACGCTGTGTGGGCTGACATCGATCCGTGCGTTTGGCGCACAGCATATGTTTGAGCGTCAGTTTGAAGTCCACCAAAACGACAACACCTCTACGACCTTCCTATTCATCTGCACTTCCAGAGCACTCGGAGTCTTAGTGGACAGCATTTGTACATTATATCTGAGTGCTGTCATCGCCTATATTATGACCAGTAGTGACCGTATGTTTGCATTTATTAAATTTTATATCAAATTTGAGTTTTTTTATTATTTAAACAGATATTTCCGGAGGAAATGCTGGACTTCTGTTAACAACGGGTATAAATATTTATTCAATAATAAACAATTCAATTAATATAAATTTATTTTTAAGCCCTATCATTGACCACTTTAAGTCAATGGACTGTTAAATTGTCTACCGATGCCGAGTCCCATATGACTGCTGTCGAGCGAGTCTTAGAATACACAGCCATTAAACCCGAGGCAGAGCTCGAGTCCACTCCCGATCGGAAACCGCCTAAAAATTGGCCACAAATGGGAGAAATAGTGTTTAAAAATATGAGTCTTCAATACAACGAATCGCCGCATAAAGTGCTCAAAGATATCAACGTTTGCCTCAAAGGGGGAGAAAAGGTGGGAGTCGTGGGCCGGACGGGCGCCGGCAAGTCATCCATCATTGCAGCCCTCTTTCGACTCACAGAACCTTTAGGACAGATACTGATAGACGGGGTGGACATCGGGTCCATAGGTTTGCATGACTTAAGGAGTAAAATATCAATCATACCTCAGGAACCGGTGCTCTTCACGGGTTCGGTGCGTAAGAATTTGGACCCTTTTGGTGAACACCCGGACGACGACCTTTGGTCGGCTCTGTCTGAAGTACAGCTCCGGGATGTCGTGCAGTCAATGCCGGGACAGTTGGATGGAGTGGTTCGCGAAGGGGGCAGTAATCTGAGTGTAGGTCAGCGCCAATTGGTATGTCTGGCGAGAGCTATACTACGAGACAATCGGATACTAGTGTTAGACGAGGCGACCTCTAATGTGGACCACAGATCCGATGCTCTCATTCAGACCACTATTAGACAGAGNGGGCAGTAATCTGAGTGTAGGTCAGCGCCAATTGGTATGTCTGGCGAGAGCTATACTACGAGACAATCGGATACTAGTGTTAGACGAGGCGACCGCTAATGTGGACCACAGAACCGATGCTCTCATTCAGACCACTATTAGACAGAGGTTTAGATACTGTACTGTCATTACGATTGCCCACAGACTCAACACTATCATCGACTCCGACAAAGTGATGGTAAGCCAGGGTTTGATAGGGGTTTGGGTTCGCATCACTTTTGTTGTACTCATTGTTTATGTATTGTCTGATCAGGTGTTAGACGCGGGACAAGTGGTTGAGTACGACATTCCCCACCATTTGTTGGACACAAGCGATAGTGTGTTCAGCAAATTAGTCAAACAGACGGGAAAAGAGATGTCCACTAAATTGAAACAAATGGCAAAACAATACTATTATCATAAAAATGGTATTAATTTTGATAACAAAGACAACGAAATTAAAGAGGAAGTGGACAGCGATTGCAACGACTGATCCATTAATTATGTTTTAAAACTACTGATACTTTATGTTTAGAAACGCAACAAACACTGAAATATTGTATCGAAAAACTTTTTGAAACAAATATTAGATTTTTTATTGTAAGTCAAAATTCAATCCAAAATATCTTGGTAAACAAAAAACTAAATAAAATATAAATAATTTTCTTCCGGGATAACGCTAATTTCATTTAGTCGTTAATTTATTAAAATCCCTTCCCCTTGTATTTACTCAAACAGACCAAAAAGTGCACACAAATACAACAGTAAAATACAATAGGGAGGTGGGAGGGGTGCGACAACTATAAACTATAGAGGGGATAAAAGGAGAGAAATGTGTAACGAGCGTTGTTCTCGTATTAATTAATTGATCACATTTAAAAATACCAACGAGAAACCACTTTCACCTGGTTACCTTTGTCTCCATATTTATGAGGTTCGCCAATAGTGATGTATACGGAGAACACGTCAATCAATTGTTCATAAGTGTAGACCTCATGGATATAGTCGTGAATTTACATCAAACCATTCATATCAGGATTTCTGTCCACTCAAGTGGTCCTGTTTTGAGGACGAGTTATTGCATCGGGCGGACAAAGCAGTGACTTATGTCATTTACACTCCAACCTATGATCACATGTGTATATTACCCGTTGACTACACCCGTTATAATACCCTCACAACTCCTGATTTAGTTTATTAATGAATAAAATAAATAATTAGTAAATTAGATTATAGTTACCTTTAGACCTTCTGAAAATTTTTGGGATAAACGAATAAAAATATAACCATATAACATTAGAATTGTTATGTTTAAATTCATTTACTAAAAGTTTATATTTTAAAAAAATTCTAGAGATAAATACATGTGGAATATACAGTAGTTTACCAATTGATAAATCTTATATTATTACAAGTACCTGTATATTGTATATCCAATTACTACATATTAATTGCAATTATAATCAATATAACCACTTTATATGAAATTTTATATTTATGGCTCAAAAATTATTAGTATAAAATAAACTCACTTTTTAGAATTTAATTTCTAAATTATCTATATAAATTATCTTTATATATATATGTATGTTTATAAATGTTTTGTCACAAAAAGGGTATGTCCAAAAAATGCCATCATATTATTAAGAATAGCTGAGGGGAAAGGGTGTTGTTGGTTCAATTTTTATACTGAATTCTATTTAAAATACAGTATTACGATGGAAGTAACCAATGGTTTGGTAACCATTCCGAGTCCATGGGATCGCATTAACATCATTTCAAAGCTTACATTCAGGTTATTTATTAAAAATCTACTGTATTTAAAATTTATATTATACATGTATATTAAATTAATGAATTTTTTTGTATTGATTAGTTGGGTGTGGAGTCTATTCATTCGGGCGCACAAAAAGGACCTCGATTTCAGTGATCTCTACCGCTGCCCAAAATCAGATGAGACACATCGAGTCCGACAGAAACTGGAAATGTAACCAAACATTATTCATTGTTTAAATTTTGAAAATATAATGTTTTGTATGTATTTGTATAGCAAATGGGATAACCAATTGAAAAGTAAAGGAAAGCCATCGCTTTTTAGGGCACTCTTCGCATCGTTCGGACCCGAACTCATTGTCCTCTATATCTCCGATGTTATCAGAGTATAATATAAATGGATATCAATTAAAACAATTATATTAATATAACTAATAAATAAGTTATTGTAAATATTTTCAAAATAAAAATTAAATTTATTTATATTCTGTAATCAAACAGGAATTGGGACCAATATTGTTTCAGCCGTATTGTATTGTATATTTGGTGAGATATTTCAACAATGACCCCAACACTAGCCAGTGGTGGGCCATATGGGCGGCCGTAGGTATTGTGTTGGCGTCCATTGCAAACATGATTATCATATTTAGGAACCATATTTTGTTTTCCAAAGTTGGTTTCAGAATCCGTGTCGCCTGTTGTGCCCTAATCTACCGCAAGGTTTGTTCCATTAGAGTGTATATACTTTGATAATTTTTATTTAAATCATTTTTAATTTAATTTTCTTAAAGTCCATGCGTTTGAGTCATTCATCACTCGGACAGACAACTGTTGGCCAGATATTGAACATTATGTCCAACGATGTCCACAGATTTGACCAGGTATTGTGACATAAATGAAATATTGATTGTTAAACTTAAGTGTTTTTAACCATGGTGTCATTATAATGAGAAAATAGTTTGCACAATATTCGCGAGCATTGTTTGTGGCGCCACTGCAGGCGGTGATTGTGTTATACTTGTTGTGGCCGTACCTGCGGTGGGCGTGTTTGACGGGAATGGGAATACTTGTGCTGTTTATACCATTTCAAGTACTAATGGGTCGTATGTTTCGGAGTATACGTCAAAAGACGGCAAAATTAACTGACAGTCGAATCCGTTTAATGCAAGAGATTATCGCCGGAATGCGTGTCATAAAGATGTACGCCTGGGAACAGCCCTTCGCACAGTTGGTCGCAATCGCTCGCAAGTAATGACACAAATAATATGCTATTCATAAACATATAGTATGTAAATATTAAACAAATAATATTTTTAATATTAGATCCGAAGTGAAACAAATCCGTTTATCAAATTTTTTGAAAGGGGTTAACCTTTCGATTTATTTTGTGATAATACGGGTTATAATATACGCCTGTTTTCTAACATATATACTGATGGGTGGGATGTTGTCGGCGGAGACAGCCTTTGCCACTATTGGTTACTTTAATGCTCTTCGTTGGTCAATAGGGCTAAATGCACCCCTAGGTATAGCAGCTCTCAATGAGATAATTATAGTCATCAAACGTATCCAGGTCGGTTTTGATATTTTATGTAATTTATTGATAATCTTTGTTTAATTTATAATTATTTAATTTTATAGAATTTTCTATTACTCGAAGAGATGAGTGGTTTGGATGAGAGGGAAGGGAAAGACAACGAGGCGTTCATTTCGGGGGAAAATGAGATAATTCTCGGAGTAATGGAAAACACTTCGAGTAATGAAGAAAAATAGAGCACCGGGAGCTCAATGGAAATGGTAGTGATGGGGGAGAGAGAGAGTAAAATAAATTAGATGAAATTTTATCGGACTTTTATTTTGTGTACTTTTGTTACAAATTCTTATTGATTTCTCCATCCATTCATTGAGTCATTTACTTATAGTCTCTATTTATGTTTATCGCACGGAGAATACAGTTTCAATAGAAATCTATGAAATCTATGAACAGCTATTCAATGGCTTTAATAAATTATAAATATATTTTAGAAATTTTATAAATAATTATCGCAAGTAAAGCTTAAAATAATACCAACAACTTTAACAATATTAATACTGTCCAACTTCTCTTGGATGAACCCACCCTATAATTAACACTTTTGTTGTAAAACTGACCGTTCATTATAGTAAGGTTATACGTTAGTATTAATTAATTTTTAATAATAGTAAATTGTCAACTGTAATTTAATTCTATGTATTTTTAATAATTTTATTTAATTATTTGCTAATTAATTATTTGGGGTTATAACAATCATTTGATAATCTTTAATGTAATTTTTTCTAAATCTTTTGATCTCTCTCTCTCTCTCTCTCTCCTTATTTCATTTTTAACCACTATTCTGATATGAATAATGTGGTTTATAGGATCGTTCGGCCCCCCTCACCCGAATAGTGGTTAACGTATAGCATCGCTGTGTGATCCTTGTTTTGTTATTTTCGTTGAATCTCTATTGCTTTTATAAGAGTGAGACAATCAAAGACTAAACGCCTCCAGAGATTTGTGAAATGAATATAAAAGATTACGTAAATAGAGAGAGAGAGAGAGAGAGAGAGAGAGAGAGAGAGAGAGAGATCCAAAAAATTTGTCTGTTATATAACGGGTATAGCCTTTGAGTGAGAGATGGGAGAGGGAGTGGGGATTGGGATGGAATGGGATGTCAAATGATATACATTAAAGTGAGTCCAGAAATAAGCAAAATACACACAAACCATGTCTAAAATCACAGACAATGTGTCACTTAATACAGCGGTTATATACCAGTAAACACATAGTTGTCTAATGTATGCCCGCGTATAGTAATAACATTGTATTCTTGGTATGTTTGTAGAATTAACAAACTCACAGCAAATAGTTTTAAATTAAATTATTTGCAACCACTGATTAGTGTACAATACTTATTATTAGCAACTGTATTGTCTGTTTTCGTACTTGTTAAAATTAATTTAAAAAACAACATTTTAAGTAAAATAAACTTTAACGCCAAAGGGTGGAAATGTGAATGTTTGTGAAATGCGAGCACTATTTTTGTATCAATATAATATAATAAATAATTATCTTAACCTTAATTACATGATATTATTAATATATATCCTATCCATTTTGATAATACATTTATTAATAATGTTAAAAATATAAGTTAAAAATATAAGATAAAAGTTAAATCAAGCACTTTATAAAAATAAAGTAATTATAATTATATATTCATTTCTATGAAAACATATAAAAAAAATTAAACAACATGTAATGTATGTAAATTCACAAAATATTCCAGAAATCATTCAGTTTTGCAATCAATGTCTACTTTCTCTTCATTTTCATCAAAATTGATGCCATTTTTACGATAATAGTATTGTTTCGCCATTTGTTTCAATCTAATAGACATTTCATTTCCCGTCTGTTTGACTAATTTGCTGAACAGACCATCGCTTGTGTCCAACAAATGGTGGGGAATGTCGTACTCAACCACTCGTCCCGCGTCTAACACCTGATCAGTCAATACATAGACAATGAGTACAACACAAGTGATGCGAACCCAACCCCCTATCAAACCCTGGCTTACCATCACTTTGTCGGAGTCGATGATAGTGTTGAGTCTGTGGGCAATCGTAATGACAGTACAGTATCTAAACCTCTGTCTAATAGTGGTCTGAATGAGAGCATCGGTTCTGTGGTCGACATTAGCGGTCGCCTCGTCTAACACTAGTATCCGATTGTCTCGTAGTATAGCTCTCGCCAGACATACCAATTGGCGCTGACCTACACTCAGATTACTGCCCCCTTCGCGAACCACTCCATCCAACTGTCCCGGCATTGACTGCACGACATCCCGGAGCTGTACCTCTTCCAGAGCCGACCAGAGCTCGTCGTCCGGGTGTTCGTCAAAAGGATCCAAATTTTTACGCAAAGAACCCGTGAAGAGCACCGGTTCCTGAGGTATGATTGATATACGACTTCTCAAGTCATGTAAACCAATAGTCTTGATGTCAATCCCGTCTATGAGTATCTGTCCTAAAGGTTCTGTGAGTCGAAAGAGGGCTGCAATGATGGACGACTTGCCGGCGCCCGTCCGGCCCACGACTCCCACCTTTTCTCCCCCTTTGAGGCAAACATTGATATCTTTGAGCACTTTATGCGGCGATTCGTTGTATTGAAGACTCATATTTTTGAACAGTATTTCTCCCATTTGTGGCCAATCTTTGGGTGGTTTCCGATCGGGAGTGGACTCGAGCTCTGCCTCGGGTTTAATGGCTGTGTATTCGAGCACTCGCTCGACAGCAGTCATATTGGACTCGACTTCGGCCGATAATTTAGTAACATATTGGATTAAAGTGTTTGTAGATATGGCTTTATTTTTACATATTTTTAAATAAAAATTTAGTATTACATTAATTAAAATACTTGTTATTAAATTAATATTTTTACCCGATATTAATAACAGTCCAGCATTTCCTCCGGGAATACCTATTAATAAAACATTTTTATCCTCTTTATAAATTAATTGTGAAATTAACTAAATAAAACATACTATCGGTGTTTAGCATAATATAGACGATAACAGCGCTGATATAAATTATACAAATTGTGTCCATTAGGACCCCGAGTGCTCGTGAAGTGCAGATGAATAGGAAGAAAGTAGAGGTGTTGTCGTTTTGGTGGACTTCAAACTGACGCTCATTGTATACGACACGCGGTTTGCGTGCCTAGCTACAGTCGGGTGTGTCGCAACACAAGTGCACTCTCATGTGGCCTGAGGCCCCTATACAGTAAGCCAAAGTTATAATTTAATTATTTATAAAATTAATTGATATGAAACTTACACAACCCTTCCATACGTTTTATATCTCTCGCGGCTCTGATGTAAAAATAGCGACAAATAGACACTAATATCAACACAAGTATTGCCGGGAATATGAGAAACCAATTGACGATTGCATTCAATATAAGACATCCGATAATTAAGCAAAAATTCTATGGAAATATATAATTATATAACCATTATTAATTTATTGAACAATTTCATTATTGTAATTTACAATAATAAATTCAAAGGCAACCGATGGTAACAATTCGTCGACAATTCCCGTGTCTTTTGAAAACCTGTTTAGAATTCGTCCTAAAAATTATATTTAAATGAATTTATTAATCATTAAAATGATAGCAAATGTGTTAAGAGTGTAACCGATAGGCAAACTCTCGAACAGATGTATCGGTGATCGCAATAACGCATAGAATATTCGGTTATAGAGATTAACCGAAGATCTCATACACATTATGTAGAAACAAATGGTGGACAACAGGGCCGACACAAACAGACCACAGGTTAGACTCGTGTAGATTATTATGTTGAATGTCTGATATACGTCTTTGGAAGTTTCACTCATTTTATTAGTCCTAATATTTTGAGTGAAATTAAATTAAAACTTTTTTTATGTTAATAATATCACTTACCATAAGCTCAACCAATAAACGCTTCCCTGATTGAAAACTTGGGAAGCAAATAAAAATAAAATAATAAAAATAACGAGCAGAGGTCCTGCGCCGGCCTTAATGTAATCCATATAAACATTAGTCTCAACGGATCCAATCATTTTGAGTTCAGGTTTCACTTCTTGTTCGTCCACTTCTATCGGTTCCCTAACGTCCGTCACTACCGATCCCTCACTAAGGGATGAGACCATCGATGGTGTGAGAGATGTTCTCCTTTTCGTATCTTTGCTATCATTTGCAGGTAGCCAAACAGAGACTATACGGTACTCTAGTTACGGCGCGAGAAACTCGACTCACATCCTGGGCTACCGGTGTGTGAGCGGCAGCAACTCGTGTTCATAAACTACGCGCAGAAACTCTTTGACGATGCTATGGGTCACTAAAACCCTTGTCTTATCTTTCAAATACTCAACACAACATCTAATTAATAATTAAAAACATTAAATTATTTGTCATTTAGTTAATAACCTATACTTTTGGAAGAGATGTTTGGCCACATGTGTGTCGACAGCACTCAAGGGGTCGTCCAAGAGGTAGATGTCTGCCGAGTGGTACAAAGCCCGGGCCAGACTCAGCCTAGCCTTCTGTCCGCCACTCATTTTATTAGTCCTAATATTTTGAGTGAAATTAAATTAAAACTTTTTTTATGTTAATAATATCACTTACCATAAGCTCAACCAATAAACGCTTCCCTGATTGAAAACTTGGGAAGCAAATAATCGATTGTATTTCTCTTCATTATATTGAGAGCCAAACAGAATATTCTGTCGAACACTCGCTATGAAAGCCCACGACTCCTGCGGCGCGTACGACACCCGACCCCTCACTACCACTCGACCCGACACTACAGATATCTCATTCAATATTGCCATCAATAATGAGCTCTATTTTTGATTAATAATAATTTCATATTAAATATAATTGTATTGTTAACAATAATTAGTATAATAATAACTACATAACTGGATAAAACCCATACCTTTCCACTGCCAACAGACCCGACGACAGCCAACAGTTGCCCGGTTTTTACACTCAGACTAATGTCCCGAAGCGTGGGTTCAGTCGTCTCCTAATGTATTCATAAAACTCTAAACACGTGTTAAAAGACATCAAAGAATTCATACATTATTCCAACGAACGCTCATTTTGTCCATAAAAACGCCTTTTTCTTCATTACTCGAAGTGTTTTCCATTACTCCGAGAATTATCTCATTTTCCCCCGAAATGAACGCCTCGTTGTCTTTCCCTTCCCTCTCATCCAAACCACTCATCTCTTCGAGTAATAGAAAAGTCTATTAAATTATATAATTGTAAAGAAGAAAGAGGCGGTCAATTAAATCATTTGATCGTATATATTGTACATCTTTAAGATTATAAAAGGTAATTCAATTATGTAAAAAAGTATATAAAATGTCATATCGAGGAAATTCATACAGTCGACATTCGATTTTAACAACTGCTATTGTGACAGAATTTTTTTTAGTATAATTAACCGATTTATTTTATCTTAATTTTAATTAAAATTATCAAATCAATTAATTACATAATTTATTACAATTACCTGTATTCGTCTGATTACTATAATTAGTTCACTGAGAGCTGTTATAGCCATAGACACGTCCAACCCTATTGACCATTGCATGGCATTAAAGTAAGCCATTGTGGCAAAGGCTGTCTCCGCCGACAACATCCCACCCATCAGTATATATGTTAGAAAACAGGCGTATATTATGACCCGTATTATCACAAAATAAATCGAAAGGTTAACGCCTTTCAAAAAATTTGAAAAACGGATTTGTTTCACTTCAGACCTAATATTGAAAGAATTATTTGTTTAATATTTATAAATTTATTTAAAAACATGTGGCTGACGATTAACTTAAAAACATTGAGCACTTAATGCCGTTTGTAAGTTTCTCTTTCAATTATTATATTCTTTGTGTCATTACTTGCGAGCCTCTGATACCAACTGTGCGAAGGGCTGTTCCCAGGCGTACATCTTTATGACACGCATTCCGGCGATAATCTCTTGCATTAAACGGATTCGACTGTCAGTTAATTTTGCCGTCTTTTGACGTATATTACGAAACATACGACCCATTAGTACTTGAAATGGTATAAACAGCACAAGTATTCCCATTCCCGTCAAACACGCCCACCGCAGGTACGGCCACAACAGGTATAACACAATCGCCACCTGCAGTGGCCCCACAAACAATGCTCGCGAATACAATGCAAACTATTTAATCAAAAAATATAACAACATGGTTAAAATAATTCACTTAATAACGCAAGTTTAATGATCAATATTCAATTCACAATTTAATACTTGATCAAATCTGTTGACATCGTTGGACATAATGTTCAATATCTGGCCAACAGTTGTCTGTCCGAGTGATGAATGACTTAAACGCATTGACTTTATATTAAATTATATAAAAATTAATTAAATGAAAATTACAAAAATAGACAATATTATGGAACAGACTTTGCGGTAGATTAGAGCACAACAGGCGGCACGCATTGTGACCCCAACTTTGCTGCACATGGTTAAGTTTAAATGTGTGATAAACATATAAGCAATGGCGGCCAACACAATACCCACAGCCGCCCATATGGCCCACCACTGGCTAGTGTTGGGGTCATCGTTGAAATATCTGACCAAATATACAATACAATACGATCGAAGCAAATTGAATCCCAAATCCTGTTTAATTGGAATATATCAATATAAAAACAACTCACACACAGCGATGCTATACGTTAACCACATTCGGGTAGTGTTCAAAGAATAGATAGTATTTCATATTGCGTTTAAGAATTGTATTTTCAAAATTTAATTTTTAAAGCCTTGTTAAATGAATATCAATTTTCAAAATTTTTCAATCTTATCTCTTCTTATAGTTTGTATTTTGAAATTTTTAAAAAATATTATTGTTGATATTTATTTGGTTTGAATAATAATTTTATTTGCTATTAATTCTATTTTGTTTGTGTGCCCATAGACTTATCATTATTCCTATAAACTTAGCATTACCCATGTTACACCTATGTCATAGACTTATGCTATAATCTCATGGATATCCATTATAAAGCTTTAGTATTATAGACTTAGCATTGCCCATAGGATCAGCATTGGTTCTATAGACTTAACATTACACATAGACTCAAGCACCCCAAGTTCAAATTTAGCCATAGACTTAAGCTGTAATCCAATGTTAAATCTCACAGAGCGGGGGAGGCCGAGGAGGAGGGGGCGGAACGATCCTATAAACCACATTATTCATATATGAATTGTGGCTTATAATTATAATTGTTCTAATAATTATTTTTAATTGTTATCCATTTTTATTATACTCTGATAGCATCGGGGATATAGAGGGCAAAAAGTTCGGGTCCGAACGATGCGAAGAGTGCCCAAAATAGTGATGGCTTTCGTTTGCTTTTTAATTGTTTATCCCATTTGCTATACAAATACATACAAACATTATATTTTTATTGTCTTAATGATGAATAAAAAATCTATAATTTATGTTACATTTCCAGTTTATGTCGGACGAGATGTGTCTCATCTGATTTTGGGCAGCGGTAGAGATCACTGAACTCGAGGTCCTTTTTGTGCGCCCGAATGAATAGACTCCACACCCAACTAATTAATTCAGAAAATACAATTTAATATATTAGGTCGTATACTGTAAATCATAATTTAGAGTTGAAATTTTAAAATTATTATTTAATATAAAGCAGCCCATTATTTCAAATAATAGATTGAAAATGAACGAGTGTTATTTATAGAAGCCGTATCCGGATATAGGTGCACCCCTTGTATGAAAACTCTGATAAAAGTGCATGCACCTACATGCGGTGTAATACGGTACTAATATCTGGTTGCAGAGAATGATATTGGTCGTCTTATAGAAGAATAACAGGATAATATGTGTGGAATAATTTATTAATAATAATTATTAATAACTTAATGAACAATCTAATATAATATTGTATAATGTAAATTTAAATACAGTAGAAGTTTAAATAAATGACCTGAATGTATGTTTTGAAAGTATGTTAATGCGATCCCATGAACTCGGAATGGTAACCAAACCATCAGTTACTTCCATTGTAGCAATGGGCAAACTGTTTATACTTAGCAATCAGGTTGTGTTGCCTACGGACATCTGGTTAGCCTACCAGTTCCTATTTGTTATGTGCGGCTATCGGCGGGTTATTACGTTCACTCAATTAAATAAACAAAACAATTACACTTTATTTAGATATAAATACATAATATCTAATATCAACTAATATTACATACAGTATATGGCGATATGCATGTGAAGTTTACATTGTGAACACTATACAGTATAATTATGTTTCATAAAAATTGATTATAATTGTAATTAATACGCAGTAATTAAGTGTACAGTATAGGTATTTGAAGTCATACAATTGTAACATACATGTGGCTTATAATTATATATATTATATATGCAATATTATTTGTATTGTAAACTTTAAATGTAATTAATAATTATAAAACATAAATGTTATGGCATGTTCGTTATGATTAAGAATATTCTTGCTGAATTATAATTACAAATATATACTGTAGACGTAAAATACAGTGAAGTAATTAAAATTATAATAAATTAATTACTATATGAAATCAGATGTTTGTAATGAGTTTTAAGGTTGAATTTTGACTTAAATTCAAAATCTAATATAAAAACATTAAAAATATTGTTTTTAATAATAAGCCTTTCATTAATTTCTACTTCACTTTCGTTTGCGATTCCTCGGGAACCGTTGAAGTGATAATATTGTCACATGACTGTTTTGGGTGAGCATGGAGGTTTTGCGGGACCAATGGTTACAGACCAATATTTATAATGAGAGATCGGGGTTAGCGATGGAATAAGAAGATGGCAAACTTAAAACCACCATCATCGGATTATGGGTTTTAATATAGCAAGTTAACCAATTTCTTTTGCATGTTCACCTATATTAACCTAATTATATATTTAAATTTTATATTAAATCTAAATAATGTTAGTAGAAAAAATTCTTGAAAAATTTAATTCCAAAGATAAAATATCTTAAATTGAATTATGAAAAATATCGAGTTTTGTAGGTTTTCATGATTAAAATTCAATATTTCAATTTAAAAATCACTAATAATTAATGATTCAGTCTTTGCAAACGCTGTCCACTTCCTCTTCGTTTTTGTAATAATAGTATTGTTTCGCCATTTGCTTCAATTTAATAGACATCTCTTTTCCCGTCTGTTTGACTAATTTGCTGAACAGACCATCGCTTGTGTCCAACAAATGGTGGGGAATGTCGTACTCAACCACTTGTCCCGCGTCTACCACCTGATCAATGAATATATAGTCAATGACTACAACACAAGTGATGCGAACC